GAGGCAAGAGTTTTTGCTAGTGGCTTTTTTGTATAATGAGGTGATAAAAGTGTTATTGCTATATTCTACGAGAACATCTAAGAATGGGAGTTTGTTTTTTTGACTAATTTCATAGGTAAAGTTAGGGAAGAATTTTTTCTCAAATGTGGTCTTCCGTGTATCTATTTCTTTAATGTTATTTACAAAAATAAAATATCATCTACCTTGCGGACATATATTTTCGGTTTACCAATTTGTGTAAATATCGTATTTTCTACGTGGGATATGTAATAGTTGGAAAAGCATGGGCCGGGTGGATTTCCCATATTAGCAACATTAGTTTGGGTGTAGATGGTGCGATTATGGTCATAGAATCGAACTTTGGTTGTGCATGCGTGTAGTAATTTTTTTAGGATGTATGGTTTGATTGATGGCGGAGGGATAGAATTATTAGTATATACAGAATTGGGAATAATGTCGATGGTTTGATCGAAGGTGATGTTTGTAAATAAGTTTTCGACGTCAGTTAATGCTATTATACCTTGGTTTGGTTTAGTAATTTTTAAAATTTGGAGGAATTCATGGGTGGATGTGATGCTGCAATTGGTGCGTAGGTATGGAGTGATCGGATACACAACTACATGCTTATCCAGTCGCCTTACGTTACACCTATCTGACCATAGTTCCATTAGAACAGATTTAAACACACACACACAAACTTACCGGACTCCATTAGAAACATACTAGAGGAGAAAACACAAATATAATATCTTCATCCACTTGTAAAAAAAAAAGATTAAAAATAATGGAAGCCTTAATAATAAAAAAGAAAAAGCCAACTCTTATCAATATTAACTACGAACAAGGCCACAATGTGCTAACCGTATTCGGAAATTAAAACATCTCTACAACACACTAAAACATACATATAATGCATACACTCAATTAAGCGAAAAAATTGAATCATCCTTGATAATGGCTACAGGTATAGCTGAAAGCGCTCGGGACTACAAAACATTTAGCAGTTTTTACACACTCTTTGTCCAGAAAAGCTCTTGTTTGAACACAAGAACAATTAAATAAAAAAGCTTAACCGTAGTACCTTGACTGTCGTTTTTAATGAAACATGCATAAACGAAGGATTGCTGCCTATATATATATATATATATATATATATATATATATATATATATATATATATATATAGGGTGCGATGTATGAAGTGTCGTCGAAATGACGCGAAAATGAAAATCATACTGATACCTCATTTTAATGGAAATATTTACCAAAATTACATAAAAATATCTTGAAATACGAAACAGTAAATTTATTACATAAAATCGCCATTGGCTTCAACCACGGCCTCCAGACGACTTCAGAATCACCTGATCTCCTAAGTTGGTGAATGCCGCCATAATCTTTGCCTTCAGATCATCTTTGGTGTTACAATGAGTTTTTTTTTCTTTTTTTTTTTTGCTTAACTGCGTCCCACACATAGCAGTTAACGCGGTTACTGCTATGGAGTTAGGTGTCAAGATCTAAGCGATAATGTGGTCTCAGAAATTGTCTGACAATCTTGAGTGTGTTCTCCTCCTTGTGTAGGCTGGTTCAGAGTCCTGTTGCCAGATATAGGGTCTTCCAGCACACGCCCTCTTGCCCTTATGACAGCACAACCTACTCAAGGCACTTGATGTAGGCTTCCTTGTTGAATCTGAGACCATCACCAACAAATTTAGGCGTGCTTTTCCTATTAGAATGATCAGAGTGATTTTTTTCTGATATTCCGTATCTCGTAATCACCATTAGACTCATCCAGCTCTTTGAGAATTTGGTAGAGTCCTGTTGCCAGGCATGGGGTTTTCCAGCAACCACTCTCTTGACCCAAGATAGCATTACGTCCTCAAGTCACTTATTGTAGGCTTCCATGTTGAGTCAGGCCCTCTAGGAAGATTAATAGGGATATAACATCACCATTCCTAGTGATCACTCCCAACAACTTCCGCATATCCAACTTTTTCCGAATCCTATGCACTGTCCCTAAACTGACACCAAAACACACTGAAAAAAAAATCTTATTGGAGCTTCCGGCGCGAATGTCAAGAAGAACAGCATCACGTTTCCAAATTTCTGGCTGAGAGAATTGCAGAGGGTGCCCAATTGACCCTACTATACTGTGCAGTCGACAAAATCAAAAACAATGCGCATGCGCGAAATTAAGAATATAAAATGGCAACAATTTACCCATCAAACACTGTATATGTGCGTGCGTCCCCGCACACATACATACATTATTAATCCAACTAGGAAAACCTAGTTCTTTTTCATTTTTTCCCCTGGTGTTTTTCCTAACAGAACACTAAAGTTACTTGATTTTAACGCAGCACTGATAAAGACACTGGTCTTCATTAGTAAGAGTAAGTAGATTTCTTTCAGAAAAAAAAACAAAACAAAACCTACAGTGCCAACTCCCACACCCCCTACCTATTATTTATTCTACCGTCGTTTAGTTATATATTTATTTTATTAACCCATTAACTGCCAATTTTTTTTAATGTGCATTTTTGGGCCAAGCAGGTGTCTTAGGATTCCTTATGTTTAATTTCAGTAGTGACTATTGTCGTTTTTATCAAAACTAGAACATCCAATATGTATGTGTATAAAACATCAAAACATAATATTGATTAGAAATAATAAGAAATACTTTTCAAATTAGTCATTATTTTTTTATTCGTGAAATGTAAAATTACGACAGAAAGTGTCTTCTTACGGCTATTAAAAAAACCTTTAAAGGCTAAGTGTTGTAAAATATACCTCTGCAAATGCAATGCATGTAAGCAATTCACTGTAGTTACTATTGTCATTTTTATAGAAACTAGAACATCAAATATATATGTATATAAAACATCAAAAAATAATATTGATTAGAATTAATAAAACAATACTTTTCAAAACAGTCATTATTTTCTACTCGTGAAATGTAAGATTACAACAAAAAGTTTCTTCTTACGGCTAATAAAAAAAACTTTAAAGGCTAATTGTTGTAAAATATACCTCTGCAAATGCAATGTATGTAAGCAATTCAATGTAAATACAAGGAATAACATGTAGTGAGTTTAATTTTAACAGATCCCCAAATAGGACTCATGGCAGGTAATGGGTTAATGCTCTAGGTTTGTGAATTGGATTTAAGATTGAATTTTTACTTCTAAAATCCACACTCCATTGGCTAAAGAATGAAAACTATATTTAAGTCAGTCTGCAATTTTATTGATGACATTTTCTTCCTGAGTGATCTAAGAACCTTTAAGCTATGGCTCAGCAACCTCTTGAAGAGTGCGGGTCAGCTATAAAGTGTCTCCGAGAAGGGTCGTGATATCAAATGTACTATAATAAATTATCTTGACCTCAACCTAATCCATCGAGAAGGCTGCCTTGGTCTGAAAGTATAAACAAAAAACCTACAAGGTTAATAATGTTATATTATTCAAATTAGATTCCTTATTTTACCGCAGTAATAACAAGATGAAAAGTAACATAATCAACAAAAAAATTCCTTACTATAAACGAAATGCAGTTGTCATTTTCTCATTATAGGCTTTTATATTTTCCGCCGGGCAAAACATATTTTTTTCTGTAAGTCACCTGCGGACTCGGAATTAAATTTTGATTGAAGAAATTCGTCGCATTAACTTCAACTGATGACTTTCTGCCACTTGCTCCGCAAATTAATTAGATAATTATTGTCCAGGTGTTAAGCTGGCGAGCCGGACAAAAATGCTTCGCGAGCCGGATGTGAACCGGGTGCCGGAGATTGCCGACAACTGCTTTAAGCTATAAAAATAATACTACTGTTACGGTAAATAAATAATTTTCCATTTAGACAATTAAAATATCTAAGTACCAATATATTAACATTTCTGTAAGTCGTATATGATAAGCATATATTCCAGTGATATTATAAAACGCCGTTTGCTTATTGACGTCGAGTAATTCCTCCTACAAATATTACAACGTAATATGGCATTACTTAGCAGGGGAAAATAAGGCTGCGTGACCGATAAATATATAAAAACAAATTGCGTTTTATATTATAGATGTGATTATACGTATTTTATTTCGGTCTTACTCTAACCTTCGTTTTTCAAATAGACTCGGGCTGCCAGAAATGCTGCTGACTGTGAAGTTAGTACATGTTTACAACGGCCACATATTTAGGATCAATTCTGAGAAAACATGGCACTTCGAAGTGAAATGGTACAATATTCTATAGCATTACAAATGAAGCACATCAAGTTGCCGCTCATTTTAAGAGCCTACTGCTCATGATACACTGGCATGCAATAATGTTCTCAGCACGCATAGCTTTTTTTATTAGGCTGTTTAGTATTCTTTGGACAAGATATTTTCTTTAATATTTTTGTTAGGGTCATAAATCTAGATTTCGTACAAATATCTATCTCTATCTATCTATCTATCTATCTATCTATATATATATATATATATATATATATATATATATATATGTGTGTGTGTGTGTGTGTGTGTGTGTGTGTGTGTGTGTGTATGTATGTATGTATACCGCATTCTCTTGGTATCTATCATCATCCTATGTATCTATTCTAGTGTGCGCGTCTCTCTATCTATCTTTATATATATATATATATATATATATAGAGAGAGAGAGAGAGAGAGAGAGAGAGAGAGAGAGATAGATACCGAAAGCCTGGTCTAGATAGATAGATAGATAGATAGATAGATAGATAGATAGATAGAAAGATAGATAGATAAATGGATAGATAGATAGTTAGATAGATAGATAATCATGGGAATTGAAGAGATAGCTATATATATAGATACCAAGAGAATGCTATATATATAGCATTCTCTTAATATATATGCTATATATATATATATATATATATATATATATATATATATATATATATATACATGCACACACACACACACATATATATATATATATATATATCATTCTCTTGGTATTTATCGATCTATCCCAGTATTTCGGTAGCTATCTATCTATCTATCTATCTATCTATCTATCTATCTATCTATCTATCTATCTATTCATGTCTTGGTCTTTGATATTCATTTAGATAGATATTCTTTAATTTACTATACGTTCATTATAAAAAAAATGCATTTATAATTATAGGCATTATATTCATTTTAATCAACACTTCATAGTTTCTCAACTAAATGATTTCCGTACTGATTACTATGCCCAAAACATCTGTCTATTATTTTATATATTTGTATTGTTTAAAATTTAGTATATTTATAGAGGGTGTTCAATTACGTTTATTGATGTCGACAGTGTAGACATAAGAATAAACATTGAATGGTGACTATTATTTTTCAGGCCTGAATGTTCTCCGATATCTTCATCATCTATCATCTATACATGATGTCAGCTGTGGATTCCTCAAAAGAGTATGGCCATTGCTTACAATTTAAATCTATGATTACGATTTTGATTCAAATTTGTCCTTCTCTTAGATTGATTGTCAGTTCAGCTATTTAACCCATATTGGGAGGAAAGAGATGATTCCATAGATTTTTTTAAGACGATTCACGTGAAAAGTATGAATTCATCTCTTCTTCTATAAAAAATGCTATCATATGGATCAAGAGTGCTCAATATCGGATATAGAGTGTTTACAGTGTTTAGATATAAACAGTGTGGATATAGGATTCAACTGAAAAATGGAAATTTAGACGACCCTAATATTTTGAACAGTTGGTTTATATCCTAGTTACTGGGCTTGATTTTCTATTCTCGGTCTTAATCTTTCCTCAGAGATTATAGAGATTATAGACTGGCGATACAGAATTATATACGAAGAGATTTACCAAATAACAAGAAAGGCATCACTTCAAGATTCCCAAGTGCATTTGCAACAAGACTGGGGAAATAGTGACATAAACAAGATGTTGACTTTTCATCAGACTCTCTTAAACAAACGTTTAGGAAGGAGGTTCTTTTCAATACTAGAAAGAGCAATAACAATTAATGGACTTGAGAAGACGTTTTTTAAACAACTTTTAAGACAAAAGTTTGATAAATTTGAACCGACAGTCCTGCTAACTTTATGGTCAATGAAAGCCGAATATTTCTTGTTCTCGCTATTAACATTGTCGTAGATTCCATTTATTTATTATATGTAAATTGCTACTACTTCTTGGATAAATTGGTTTCCCGCTGCTTTCTCTAGAATTTCGGATTTCGGATTCTTTTCCTAGCTGCTAGAGATCAATGTTTACTTTGCCATTTAACCTATACCCTTGTCCAAATTAATTGAACCAAAACGAATAATTCTGTTATTATTTACTTTATTTTTCGTATTTGTCCATTGAAACATGACCCAGTGCACATGTTAGTACTTCGCATGTTTAATCTACGAAGTCATTCCTTGCAGATTGACCACAGATTCTCGATTGGATTTAAATCAGGAGTGTTTCTTGGCCAACTTAGTACTTTGATTTGCTCACTGGTAAGGCTTGCCAGTGTGTTCGTGCAGCGTCACAAATTTTCTTAAGCTTCCTTGGAGTAACGTCCATCACAATGACCGTAGGACAACTAATCGACAGTCGGGACAATAGTGACTGGACGCGATATAAATCTGATGCAATCACGGATGACGCAATATTTTTCAAGGCCAAACAAATTTAATCACGCACCCCGAAAAGAGATTCATATTTCTGCACACCACTGCAAATGTGCTTATCTGAGATGAAATAGAAATCGATTACAACCTCTAACTGCAGAGGGGGTCTAAAACTGACCGTATTGGGAAAGAAAGTAAACTAAAGTAGCTGCTTCAATTAATTTGCACAAGGATGCATATAGAGAGAAGCGATAAATTCATGACATTTTCAATGATATTTGTGTAAATGTGAATGCCACCGACTAGGCTGGAATTCGAAATCGGCTCGCCGTTTCCAGTTTCTTTTCACACATCGCACGCACGAAACGTTAAGAAACCGTGCAAAAAGTCAAGCTGTTTACCGTACCGTTACTTTTAACAGGCAATCAATGCCGCAGACGTAACACACTGTACTTTGTTGAACTGCCGATCCATTCAAGAATTCAAAAGTCAACCGAATCCCCGAAGGCGGGGAACCTGATTTGCAAAGGTCGTTATGCGTTTCTTCAGCCAAGGTGTTGACGTCGTTCGCTGATACTATTACGTCGTATCTGTTAGAAAAAAAAAAAGAAAAAGAATTTTTTTTTTTAATGTAAAAGCAAACATTTCCGCTGTAGATTTCGAATTAATTTTCTGTTTAAAGTCAATTTGTTAAAATAAGTGACCATACTTAAAATTACTATATGCCAGATACTGTCAGGGCGTGGAATAACATGTCTCTCCAAAACTTCCTATCATTTGCAGCGTTTAACAATGTTTACCATTTTACTATACCACCCATTTCCTTTTCTGTTATCGATTCACGTAAGCTTGTCAGGTGGGTGGCCGATTTTCCCAGATCTCTTTGCATTCAGTATATCCCCTCGAGTGTCTATTTCTCCGAGCGCCCCACCACACTATCTCATTATATATATCTTCAAAATTTAAATAGTTCCTTTCTGGTTCTAAATATATATGCTATTTTTAGTTCAATTTTTCTTAAACTACCTCATTGTTTACAGACCTCGCCAGCATCCTTCGGTCGAACAAGGTTTCTGCTACTTCAAGTCCTTTTTATTAATGCTGTCTTTGTTCAAAATAGCCGAGAATTAGGAAGGCCGTAATTAGAGAGAGAGAGTATCAAAGGAACAGAAGACTAGATAGAAGAAAAGAGAGAAGAAGAGGTTTATTAAATACTCATATATAGGACTTTTAAATAGTGGAGAATTAGGAAGGCCGTAATTAGAGAGAGTATCAAAGGAAGAGAAGACTAGATAGGAGAAAAGAAAGAAGATGTTTATTAAATGCTCATACACAGGGCTTCAAAATAGACGAGAATTAAGAAGGCTGTAATTAAAGAGAGTATTGAAGAAACATAAGGTAGAGAAAAAGAGGGAAGACCTTAGTTAAAGTGAGTATTGAAGGAAAACAACGAAGAAGAGGTTTATTAAATACTCATACATAAGAATTCAAAATAGCCGAGAACTAGGAAAGCTGTAGTTAGAGAGAGTGGAAAGAACGGAAGACTGGGAAGGGGTAAACAAAGATGAAGGGGTTTATTAAATACTCATACATCGAACGGGAAAATTTGAGTAAATCAGTTACTTCTCAAATCCTACTCTAATGTGGCTACTTGCGATATTTATAAGTAGAATCAGTCCATTGTCACAGTAGTAGGAAAGAGAAGGAAGTACCCTAAATCCTACTCTACTATATTTTTCTTCATCTTTGAGGAAATTGTCCAGCGTCTGCTGCCATATGACATATAGAAAAGAATACTGAACTGTAATATACATTATTCAACATTATTTTTCTTTGTTTCTAGAGGAAAATTTCCCGTTTTTTAGTACTTTACTTAGTTTTGGAAGGCATCTTTCGCTATTCCAATGTGACTTCAGATAACGGTGTTGCGTTATCCATCTGTTAACGCACTTTAGTTTTTATGCTGTGCCGGCCACAAAGATGGTGTCATTTGTGTAAAATAATCTTCGAAACTAAAACTATTGATTATGCTAGAGGAAGTGCCAATGGCTGATTACAAACCTCCATTAAGAAAATGGTTCGGTTATTATTAGGAGTTCTTTAAGAGTACGTGAACTGCGTAAGCGGAAGAAAGAGACAGCGAATTAACTTATAATAATATTTAAAAAAAAAAAACGCAATTAAAAATGAACGGGCGACACGCGTTTTTATTATCGGCAACATCTTTCAGTAAAATTTATTATACAGTTATACTCACTGCCTGACATCTTTCAAGACTGACAAAGGTTATAGCAGCAATTATGTTCCTACTACCTGGTAACATAATTATTGGTCAACTGAATACTCACGTACTTAATCTTTGTTTCTGTAAATTCCGTATAAAACTCTGGTCAAACAATCTGCCCCCGGCTAGAGACGATCCCCAGACGAGGCTATGTGAAAGGGCAGAGTCTCGTCTCGGGAAACAGCTACCCGACCCCGTTTTATATGGGGTCTACGGGGAATTTTTGGCCGGACCTACGGGATCCGATGCCCCATAATAAATTCGGCCTTTTGCCACATTTAACCGCGGTGGGCATTGAACGGCTATTAAATAATCTGCAGTTGGAGATTCATTGTAGAATTCATCTGAGTCACTTCTAGCAGTTGACTACTTCTTCGCGCCGCTGGTGAAACTTATATATGTTGTTCTTGTCCTAAGTATTATCGTTTATTACCAACCTTCGTGTGATTATTCTATTCAGTAACCTTCCCTAAGTTACAGCAGTTTATAAAGGCTATTTTGATCTCTATTAACTGAGATTTACTGACAGATTTAATTGCTGATTTCTTTGTAAATGGAAGTCGGGTAGAGTTACACAGGTATTCATGAATTAGTCGCAGGAATTATCACAAAACATCCTGAATCGAAAATCGAACTTCGGGTTCTAAGTGGATGATTATTATGCTATCAGATTTTCGACGTGGTGTAATGGTTAACAAGCTTATCTCGCTGGATCATTTTCGGATGTGTAGTAAGTTCAATCCTCGTTGAGAGCGCCTTAATCTAGACTATATACCACAAATAAGCTACGCTTAATAAATGACTATAATTTGGACACTTCGATGTGATATAATGGTTCTCAAGTTTGTCTCGCTAGATCAACTACGACTGTGGAGTGAGTTTGATTCTCACTGGGTGCTCCTTTTGACTTTGTTCCACACTTAAGCTATGATTAGTAAATCACTATATTTTGGGGCCTCCGACGTGGTGTAATGGTTAGCAAGACTGAAAAGTGTTTTCGATCTTCACTGGGTGCCCTATACATTTGGCCTTGTGCCATATCTAAACTACACTTAGAAAATCTCCATAATCGAATTCTTTAAAAATCATCCTATGCTGTTGACACTAGAGATCCATATTCGATCGAATCTAGGCGGTCTTTTCTGTTTTCTGGGCATCAAAATACTCGAGGAACATTGAAAACTAATAGTCATTCGACGTCTTCGATTTTATCAATAAGCCTAAATGTACGTCGTGCAAAACTGACTTGTGTTCGAAATTGTAGAATACTTAAGTTAAAAGCCATTCCCTTACTCCAAAATAATGATTCCTTCCTAGTACTGCAGCTGTACCAGACAGGTGGCGGGGGTTAACCTTTTCATTTTTAGCTATTACAAAAATAAAAAAAAACGTTAAACTAGAAGCTAGCAATAAAATGTGAGAGCAATACCCTTTGACGTAGGAAATGCAGTATCAATTCGAATGAGATCAAAAATAGATATAAAAGGAAAATGACAAAAGAAAAATAACTTTTGTACGGAACAAAGAGAGAAAACTGCGACTGCGAAGAAAGAATTCGTAGATACATTTGAAGAAACAGAGTGGAAAATCTATCCATAAAGTTTCCAGGTTACTTGCATAGAATATCAGCTTCAATCGACATAACTGTCATGGCATTGGCTGAGATCTCGGTAACTTATCAGAATTGATTATATATATATATATATATATATATATATATATATATATATATATATATAGATAGATAGATAGATAGATAGATAGATACATACATACATACATAGATACAGGGTGTCCCAAAAATTTACTCACGTGGATGTGTTTGGAAAGTCGTGGCCGTAAATTTGAATATTTATAAATTTGAATTTCATTTTATTTCATATAATATTTAAACCGTTAATCGTTTTTGAAAGTCAATAAACATTAACATTCCTTAACAGTAACAATTATCCTA